CCATAGATTTCCAGTAAGTAAATATTAAATGTAGCCTCATTATGGCTACCTGGACCACCGTTCCCGACACGTGGACTCTCAAGTATCCTCCCAATATAATTAAATTGATCGGAACTCAAAGTGCTACAAGTGAAGCATATACCAATAAATGCCTGACACCAGGGCCCGACAAATTTGCTTAGCGGGGGTCCCAAACTGTCTATTCTCGGTCCAACGACGAGGGACTATAATTCAATAAACAGGACTTCTGAGGGTTCCGTAGGTGACTAGTCATTAGATGGGATGGAAATTCATAGCGTTCGTATATTTCCAATTTAAAATAGATAAATTAATGAGATAAGTCTTCCTAGTTTGCGACAAAAAATATGGTTTTTTGAGCTTCTCCGTCGTGGACAAAAAAAATGAAAACTTGCCTAAATTCCTGAACACCAAAATGATGTACTTTGGGATAGAGATAATTTAAAGCTACTAATTACTACACAGCCTGAATAAAATCCAGAAAGAGTTAAATTGTGGTAAAAAAGCTTGCAGTGTAGAAAACTATTATTTCTATGGATAACTAAATATGATTTTATGGACAAGACGGTATTTTTCTACTAATGTAGCAAACGCACCACGATTAAAAGGCGATTGGTGGCTTCCTGCTACATTTGGATCAAACCGTAGAAGGCCTGCCGGTAAAATGGGATCGATGTTCTGTACGAGCAGTACGCAATGACAAAATACTATGCACTCACGTACCTTGAGCAGATCGTTGACAGTTTGGGCAGCAGTTATTACGAGTAGAGTTAACAAGAAGCACACACTAATGATATTTTTATATATAATCAATACATCATTATTACACAAAGATATTGAATTAATGCAGCCGATATTGACCTTAATTAAAAATGCATTTCGTACAAAACTCAACCCAGATTTGGCTGCAGCAGGTAAACTGGATTGCACAGCCACTGATATAATTTCAGGGTACCCGTATAACCCGATATGCGTCCACCTCGCCCCCACACATAGAGTTCGGCTGTTGAAACAAAAGCATCGATATATCATAGAGAATAGAGTATCGATGTCAGGTTTGCAGGTTGAGCTTCAATAAAAATATCGACCTTTAAACTTTCCATTCTTTAGTCAATATCCCAACCAACCATTTGATTTGATGCGAATTTGGTATTTTATTCTGTTATTCAAATGTAAATCATGTTTTGAAAATAGGGTAGTTCAGTGAGATAGGGGGCCAAAGCCTACCTCGTTGTGGATAAAAAATAATCTAACCTTTTTCATGATTCTTTATAAGTTATAATGAACACGGCTAAACGCTCTAAAAGACATGTATTTGATGTCATCAAAGTGTCATTTGTTTTTCATTTGCTTTGTGATATAGCTCTTCTATAGCTTATACACGACCGAAGGAAGTCTACTCTAAACGCAGGTGACCATTACAGCACTACTAAAATAAGCCTGTGAACCGCCTACACAGCATATCGATACTTTTTGGCTTACTACCCTCAACAAATCGCGTATCAGACGGCATTTTTGATTTTGTTACGCGGAACGCCAGACAGACGTAACTTTGTTATGGGATACATAGTCGAGTTTTTTTTCTAAAACGTCCATCCACGTTTTAGTTTCACATTTTACCATGGGCTATTTTTAAGTGAAGACGTGGATTAAAAAGGTCTACTGGATTTAATATTGCCTTCAGTCCTTTAAAAATGTAACAAGAACAGAATAATTATGATGAACCTCGATCAATCCAAATATTTATTGACTAAATGATATCATTTAATTTCGTACTTTAATTTAAAGGATAAAGCTCAAAATTTCATAAAATTGGAATTTTTTCAGTGAATATTGTAAAAATGTTAATTAATAATGAAAATAAAAAACATTAGTGTGGCAGCAACTTCGTTGTTAAAATTGTCTTAAAACCTTGAGACATTAGGATAATTATAAGTAAGTTAGGTTTGATAAGATTATGAATAAATGTTACGCATGATAAGGCTATTATACATAGGCATGGTGTAGTGGTTCAGAGCGGACTACTATGCCGAGAGGTCCCGGGTTCGATTCCCGGCCGGGCAGAAATTGAAATGATGAATTTTAATTTCTGTGACGGGTCTGGGAGTTACTATGTATAATATGTATGTATTTCAAAAAAAAAGTATATAAGTAGTATATCCGTTAAGCTAGCACCCATAACACAAGCATTAAGTTGCTTACTTTGGGGCTAGCTGGCGCTGTGTGAAATTGTCCAAAGATTTATAGATTTATTTATTATACGTACCTTTACCCTAAAGATACTCCTACTACTACCTACACGTTCATTCAACAGAACATTATATTACATACCCATGCTAATACCTACGTCAAGCCTCAATACACAGGTAACTTAATAATCTAATACATAACCTAATTGATGCCACAATAGCTGGTCCATTGTCTAAACATATTCGGAACAACAATTAGTCCACGATCGAATGTCTGACGACATAGTTAACTATAGAAATATTTGTTTAGTTAATGAGGTAATACTACACCTTGGTTAATGTACTACGTACATAGCTAATGGGGAATAAGACAGAACACAGAAGGTTAACAATCTGTGTTGTGTTTCATTTTCTTCCGCTGTGGTTGAGACGCGGAAAAAAGCTTGCAGTGATTTTAAGGCAGGCAACACTGTTAATAACAGGTGACTTACAAGCTCGTTTGACCCTATATTTATTTGTTTTTCTATGTTTTTCAAAGCGTCGGCAGGCGTGTTAACTGTTAAGAATTTGAGACAGCAATATTTGCATGTCATATTATTAACAATATTTGCATGCCAGCTTCTGATGGACTGTTCGGACATTTGATTATTTAATAACTTGTAGACTACTTTTCACGCAAATAAACTGATTTAATTTGAGATTCTGTGACTAATTGGTAAAAAAATTACAAAGTTTAGTTTTTTTTCAGCGTGTTTTCTTTTAGTTCTATCCTGAATTGTACGGTAAAAATACACTCTGGCTGACAATACACAGGCTATAAGGGTGTAGTTTTATATTAAAACACATAAAACCCTTCTCGCAAGCGTTTTTTATTTATTTTGAGTAGCGCTTGTAAACGCGTGTACACGCTCGTTTTATTGGCAAGCCTCAGTGTTTGGACGTGAACGGATTAGACAGATTTTACAAACCATTCGGCCCTGACTTCTATACCTATTTTCTACAGTCCAAACTTGTTATAAACTCTGAAAGGCTGTCTGTAGCGTTAAAAGCGTGGAAATAGAAGCGTATTCGACGTTTTGTGAGGGTTTCGAATTGGTGAAAATACGGACTGGGGAATGGCTGACACGTGTATGGATAACAAATGAAATACACATAAATACGAGCTAAAGGAATGGAACGTATATTTGTCTTAAGGCTATGCTGATAGCGATATCAACAGTAACTCCAATTTAGCTCATCTGATAGAGCTCGTTATAGTTTTCGTTTTTTGCCAAAAAAATACAGGTTTAGCTGGCTGGCTATTACGTCACTCAACGTATGAATGTATTATGATGAAAAAAAGTGTGGTACTTTAAAAAGACTGCAACAATAAATTGTTGTGTAACTAACTTCTACAGACAGTATTAATATTAAACACATCAGTGGAAGTTTTATAAACCCGAGAGTCAATGTTAGTATAGCAATTGATTTCAAAAAGTTGAACACATCTTAAAAAAATGTTTGTCCCATATTTGTACCACAATAAAAGTATTTGAGCTCATTAATGACTTTTAATATACCTCTAGAATAGCAATATCAATTTGCGGTAATCTAAAAAAATGCTTTCCGAATTGGATATTAACAATTGGAGCTGTCATAATGAAACATCAAAGAATATTGTTCATGGAAATGAAAAACGCGAGCGTTCCGTCCTCTGTTATTAAACGAGTGTTTTGGAAAATAAATGACAAGTTTAAACACTCAGCAGTACCAGGAATTAACGGTTTTATTTATGCTTTAATTTACCAGGCTAAAATTGACTTTTGCTGTAACTAAAGTTTTTTTTAAATTATATTTTACTTGTTTACCCCTACGACACGTTTGTATTTGTATAACAATGGACTGTAATATCTTCTCAGTCGTGAATTTGTGTGGATTTCCAAATCTTCACGGGAGCATACTAAACGTAAAGTATTAATTATGTAATTAAATACCGTAAAATATGTGTAAGTTTGTAAAAAACAAAATGTGAACAGAAAAAAATTTGTACACGCAGGGAGTAACGTGTACCTGTCTATACTAAAAGTATCAAGAGGTAAAGTTTGTGTGTTTGTTTATTTGTTAAATTGTAAGAATAATCTCGGGATCTACTAAACCGATTTTTAAAATTCTTTCACCAATAGAAAGCCACATTATTGCTGAGTGTCATAGGTTATATAAAAAACCGAAAAATTCCACGCGGGTGAAACTGCGGGCGGAAAGCTAGTTATCTATAAATCAATAGATACAAGTGGCTCTAAAACTTGACCCTAATAAATTATATTAAGATAATAATAAATGGCTATTAAAGGTCAATGACTTACCGGACCCTTGTCAAATGATAGTTTTCATTAGCACATTTTAATTAAAATTTGTTTTCGTTTGCCAATAGAAAATGGAAGTGTTTTTTTGCAATAATACCTACGTACCTATTTATGAATGTGATTTTAAGAACTCTACACACCAAACAGCCAAGGCTTAGTTTCGGCGGCTTTATTTCAAAAGATAAATAAAAAAATAAAAACTTGGTGTGTAGACTACATTGAAAGTTTTTGGTGTGTAGACTACATTGATCAAAATATTTACCTAGGTACTTAAAATATTTTCCCCTATTTTGTAGCTTTTATAACTACCCGATAAAAAGGGAAGTTTGATAGGAAAGCATCTACTATCTGATTATGGATTTTAGATCTTAAGAAGACGGGCGGAGAGTAGTTTATCTAAAAGCTATTTTTAGGTCATTAATACATTTGTTTGTTTGTTTGTTTGTTTCAGACCGGCAAACACTTTCATCGAACTTCACTCCTCATCAAAGCTTTCAATCACAAGTTTAGACTGGACCTCGAGCTTAACACGTGAGTACATAGCTTATAGTTATTTTGAACCATGAAACGTAACGGACATCGTGATAGTTTAAGATGACAGTACTGATGTGCCTCATATTGTGCTCAAACTTATGAGGAAAAAGCGCAAGCCAACGTGAAAAATACGAAAAAAAGTTAAGTACGTTAATCTAAAATAACATATTCACAAAACTTTCTTAAATCAATAGCACTTCAAATCTACTCCAGTAGAAATAAATAATCAATAAGCACTTACTTATCGAAAACTTCGATATATTAATTCAATTTGGAAAGAAAAAACTAAGCCAAAGTCTCGCAAAGTTTTATAAAACATGGTTTTGATTCCACCATTGTCAAATCGTGGTGGACCTTCCCTACATCGCGTTCAAAACGACCCAAACTTCGAAACCTATCCCTGTCTCTCCTGCCAACAAGTTCTATTTAACCCCTACATCGCCATCTCACTCCCACTCGAATCTTTCATAACTTACTTCGTTTATGGGGCCCCTGTCCTCTTATATTTCATTTATGGTGCCCAGAACTGTTTTTTGAATTCAAGGGACCCTTCGATTTGTGCGCCTTCCTATTTGATATTCTGTTTAACTGGACATTAGACCTTTTCGGGTACATTCGTGTTTATTGAAAATATGGTTAGTGGGATGTTTTGTTTGTTTTTTGCACACACAGGTAGGGTTTCTTTTGAAAATTTTCTCACGGAGTTAATTTTTATGTGTGGCATTGTAGCTATAAAATATTGAAAGCCTTTTCAGATTCAATCAATTTAATTGAAACAACTAATAAATTACACAAATCCTCCTGTCACATAAAAAAAAACACAAGTAGGTATCTATTTATAGAAAACGGTATTGTTCCAGTTCCACATCTTTCATATATCGATGAAAGTACATAACAGCTCTCTGGAACTTAAAAGACGACACGATATTACATTCCACAGACTATGGGGCGGAGATCATAGACAATATTTCTATTTGTCGATAATAAATAATATCGGATAATGTCTATAGCAAAATATGGAATAAATTGAACGTTTTCCTTGTAATAGTACTTTATTATTATTGCAAACGATATTGTTATTCATTTGGGAGAAGTGGGAGAGAGATCATGCAATATTAAAATGTTATAATGAAGACGACAATGAGTAGGTAGGTATGTACCATTATAATAATAAACATAGTGACTGAGTTTCTTGCTTGCTTCTTCTCAGCACTGGCCCATTTATTGTCCCGAAGCAGTGGTAGGGTTAATACTGGGACATGTAAAAGTGCTTTTTAAAAGCCTATTTGCAAAAACTTTGAGTTTTTTTTTATATAAAAAGCTTTAGTAGTGATCTTTTTCCACAACAGACGTGAACTATTTATTTACAAATTACTTTACGACTAGATTTAACTAATTACCTACTTATCAAGTGATAATGTTTACAAGGACGGTTCCTTGTTCAATTAAACATTATTTAGAATATTTAGAAACATGATATTTGCTGTACTAAAGTAAAGCATTTTGTAAATAGGTATACTACCAAGATTTCCATGCCCAGAAGCCCTGTAATTCCAAAGAAGCGGACATTAAAAGTCTAAAAATGTGGCTGCGCTCGGAAAAATTTGATTGGTGCACAAAGCCGGTATGTTTACCGCCAGCGTGTTTCGTTTGTTTGTGCGCTTTTAATGAAGTTGTCGCCAAGCGGAGCGTGCTGCGAGCGTACACGGCGCCGCAGGGGTTAACACATAAGCGGTTAGCGGAGGATTTTTTATGCAAAAAAATGTGATTAAAATGGAGATAATTTATTTAAGGATTTTATGAGAGAATAATAGTTGGTAGATACAAGAAATGTCCATTCATAGAAGTTTTGAAATAATACTTGTATTGTTTCATAATTGAATATCAATGCTCGTCTTAAGTTTACATTTTACTCCAAATTATTTATCTTCATGTAATTTTCTTCTTTCTTCTTTGCCTGGCCCATTTCTATTATACTTGGAGTATCATGCGTCTCCAGGCGGTCCTGTGTCGTCTCTCTGTTGACACAAAAACAATTTAATAGTTTTACCATCTGCAAAAAATAATTTACCACAATTTAGCAATCTAATTTTCATCTTTATAATTATAACTTAAATAACATTTAAAATCTACAATGCAAATGCACTCGCACCACACGCAAACAATGGTGTATCGTTGCAAACTAATTTGCCGGCTGCTTTCTGTGAATAATGTATATTCCAGTTATTTTGCGTTGAGCCTCTATTTTCCGGGATAATTACTCTCATGTTCCCCGCCTTGAACTCCGTGTGTAATTCGGGGGAAAGTTAACCCAGTTTCTCCAAGGACTTTGAGCTCAGTCCCTATTTTCCGGGAAAAAGATCAGACTCTATTTTCCGGGAAAAGCACTCTCGTCTCTTATGCCTTGAGCTCCTCCTCTGTTGCTGACAACGGAGCGCTTAGAACAGCCTGAGATTGGAAAATCGGTAGCTCGTTATGGTTCTGAAGTTCCCATTCCGTCGTTTAAGTGACGTCTACGAAAAGGATTACGTCATTTCCAAATATTAGGGGTTCTTTTATTTTCTTGAGCTATATTAAAATGGGTTAAATTCCAAAAGTAATTGCAATTATAACACATTATGGGATTGGAATCTCAGTCGCTGCTAGAGCACGTTTTAACACTAAAACATAATTATCACCTTATATACCAAATTATTTGAATATCTTATGTAATTCAGTACGGGACTATTCCCACCTCTCGTTCCCACCGCTGCAACTCCTGTGTAGCCAGGATCTAAGCTTCACTGCCAATAAAAAACCAACCAGTGAAGGTCAAGTTACTTTGTCCCAGTTTGTTGTGTAACCCAATAGTAAATATTAAGCAAGTTTTATCATCCTCCCCTCTAAAATTCAGTTGAAAACGAAGTACTTTATTTCCTGCGCCTTGTACTCGTAGCTAAACTTATCTCAGTCAATACGAAGGGCTTACAACTCCGTCTCAGATTGGAAAATCAGTTCAGTACTTTGTTCGTTCACAATGGGAGAGAGCCGCCGCCAAATGAAGTATGAATTTAACAAGGAGGATTTGAGTAATCGACTGACAAAGAGCTCGGAAACTTACCTAGAGATCAATCGTATTTATGGACGTTTTTGTGAGGGGATAATTTGCTGAAGCAGCGTGGTGCAGAGGGGTTAAACTAACCACTATTAAATACGTAAGTAGTATAAAACTAATAGTAGCTTTAGAATAGAAGAGGTAATTTGAGTAGATAGATACTCTTTATTGGACACCACATAAAGCTGACAAATGAAAGAAATATAAAATTGCTGTGGCACGATATAGGCGCTCTATCAAGAGGTACCTACCCAACAGGTTTTTATAGTACTTACCGATTTTTAGTATTGGTTGTCGGATACTTAAGACTGGCAGTAAATCCTTAATGTTCAAGTTTGTTAATACTTTGCAGTCGGCTTCCAGTTTCTATGCAGTTTGTTTAGCAATTGTAAATTAATGTAGTCCATCTATCCAGGCCCTTAAGAGGAAATATTTTCTTGCGATGTACCTATTACCAGACTGCGTGAACTAACAACATAGTTAAGTAGATAGATCTTTTTTTATTACTTTGAACAATAAATAAAGATACATTATCTATATCGAAATACGATTCAAAAGACACATACATTCACATAATTTAGTACATGAAAGGCCTTTCCCTTCCTGTCACGGGACAGACGCACTGTCAACTACTCACGAATAAAATTAAATTATAAATTGTCCGCGCGACCCGGGTTCCCGCCCTTTTTCCGGGCTTAAAACGTCACTAGAGGATATGATATAATTCATCGTGCGTTTGCTAGTGATGTGCCGCGTTTGGTGATATTTCTTGAGTGGTAAGAAGATACATAGCCCTTAACCAGGCTTAAAAAAGTTATTGGTTTTCAACCGTATCTTCACAGTTTTTTTATGCAAGACAGACAGTTCAAATTGATGTAGGCTCTATAGTCACCAGAGCCTGGTTAGGGGTTAAATAGGTAACCTACATGCTGTTTAGGTGCAATTAAAATAATATTACATTTACAAGTTGCTTAAAGGTTTCGTGCTCTGTAATTAGTCACTGAGACACTTGTATATTCACATTTCTTAATTTTTTACCACTATAGATGCTATTGATAATATCTTATTAGGTACTCAAAAATCGAGATTTTCGGCAACATTTCTCTTTATGAACTTATTTTGACTTGATGTTTAAAAATGGAGAAGTTAAAGAACTGAAAAGAAAACTCTTTTATAAAAGCATAAAAATGTAGGTTCTGAAAGAACGACACATAATTTTCTTAATAAATAGCAACGTACTCAACTCCATACGGTGCCACAATATTTACTTTAATGTGCCGCGTTTACAATAAAAAAACCTCATAAATAATAACTTCCTGAGCACATCACTAGGGTAGGCACTACGGCGGTATATTTACCGCCTTTTCTGCCCCAAAATATTGCACCTACTTACGGTCCTTTAAGGAAATAATAAATAAAATGCCGTGAAATGTTATCACCGGACCTGTTTCTCTTCTGGAGGAAGGATGCCATAATATAAAGCAATAACAGTATCATCACTGCCTAATGTGTACTGTTATAACTCTTACAGCATCTTTTATTGCTTTTATAACACACTTAGTACATATCAAATAGATGTAATAATAATAATGTAAGGAAAATGATAGAAAAATTTAGCAAGCTTTAAAATAGCTCTATAAGATACAGGCTATACAAGCTAAGCACTGCGGGTTCTATTTTAGTTATAATAGTTGCTATTTTGAACCAAAAATGTTGTAGGTCTAATAACACTCACAAAAAGTTGAATGGTATAAATGTTGGCGCCCTCATCGCAAGGAGGCCTTTTGTAGAGAACTCGATGTTGTAAGAACAGCTGAGTTTAGGTTTTAGCAGTGCACGTCGTTTTGATAGAATATGTTATCGAAGTATACAGTGGTGACTGAGTTTGTTGCGGCGCTTCTTC